TGTGTGTGTGTGTGTGTGTGTGTGTGTGTGTGTGTGTGTGTGTGTGTTACATTTGTCTTAACTGCAACAAGCAAGCATGGGCAAACATTTCCCATCATACATTAGCAATCTTTCTTCTGAACAATAAACTGATTTTGAACTGATAATAAAAAGTTTATACCACTGTACTGTGTGTTGTCCGTTTTCTAAATCCAGGATGCCCCGGAGCCAAAATGCCCTTTCAGGTTCTGCCTGCAGGTTAGGAAATAGCGACAGTTTTTGTTTGTTTGTTTGTTTGTTTGTTTGTTTACTTTAGGGGTGAGGGCTAGGGGTCTACAGAAGGGAGATGGCATGAACTGGACACTTCAGCCAGCTCTCTGCCCACGTGACCAGCTCCCTCTGGATGTTTCCTTTCCAGTTCTTTGAAGTGCATGGGAGAAGGTCTTAGAAAGGTAAGGTGTCCAGGAAAAGTTTGTCAATTATTGCTGGTGGTGGCACCAAGTCTTCCAATTTCAGGTAGAAAATGCGCTGAAGCCCCTGTGTGCAAAGGGTGCGGAGTTCTGGGAGCTTCCCCAGCAGTTTGGACAGGTAGTTGGGTCGGTTCAAGCCCCCATTATTGAAAGTCACATGGTCTTTCAGACAATTTACAATTTTGTTTTGCAGTTCTTCCACTCTCTTGGGTTCCTTGAGCCCGTGCCTCTCTGCAGAAAATGCAACCAGAAACAAAAGAAGAATGTGTAAGGAGTTAGTCAGCTGGCGGAGTCAGGGAGGATCTGTGATTAGGGGAAGCCATGACCGGTCCCACCAGAGGAAATTCTGAAGGGGAAGCGCCCTGCACCAGCAGTACTGACCTGTGACCATAGCCAGGGCAGCAATGCAGGAGAAGGCAGAAATGTCGATGTTCATATTCTGCAAGTTGGAGGAGAATTCAACAATGGAATCAATCCATTCCCCAAAGCCACGCACGCATTGCAACCTGTGCAAGACCACCCCATTGCAAAAGATGAGTTTACCCTCCACTGGGTTGGACCTGCAATTAATACCAAAGAGAGAGGGGAGAAAAAGAGAGAGAGAGAAGCTAAACAACTAATTACTTGAAGAGCAATAAATGAGGGATTTAAGAGGCACCTAATTACTGAAGAGTTAATAAAATGTAGGCCAGTGGACCTTGAAAGGGTTTAATTTCATAACAATCAAGCACTCCCCTGTCCCACCTCCATTCCATCCACCCAAGGCTTCTGGGCTCACTATTTCCCTTCTTCACCTTTGTTTTTTTGTTTTTTTTTTTTTAAATCTTGCCCCCCTCCTAACCCCTTTTTTCCCCTTCCCTTTACTTCTGATTCCTCCCCAGGCCTCCCCCCTTACCTGTATGCTAAACGCAGAACAAACAATTCTAAGAAAGCTGATTCAAAAAGCAGGTCCTGATCAGCTTTGGGCAGGTCAGCAAAGCCAGGGATCTTCTCTGCCCAGCCTCTGATGATCTCCATAGAACCAGTCAGCAGATCGTAGAACTGCTGTATATGTTGGGTGTCATCTCCACTCATCTGATAGTCAGGGTTTGCCTGGAACTGGAATTTCATTTTAAAAAGCACTTAATGAGGTTCTCTAAAATATATAACCCGTGAAATTGCTAACCCCGTTTCTAGTAGGGGAGCCAGGTTTTTATAACAATTAAACCTCTCTCTGACCAGTAAGGAAATTAGATGTTCCGGGGCAATTAATTCAATTAGGGACGGTGCTATGAGGTCGCCGCTTTAAATATGTAAATTACCATTTCCATACAGACTAAATACAGTGCCATCCAGCCCTGGGAAACGTTCTGTCTTATCTCCACAAAACAATTGACACGGTAGTATTCATGCTAATCCCAGAGTGGGTCTGGAGCGGAGGCGCCCTTTGCAAAGCTTCATAATATTGCAGTCGCTACTAGCTTTGCCCATACTCCCTTCAACCAAAGCCTGCACGTTTTTCACAGCTGGAGTAAAAGAGGGATTGCACCCACTTGACCCTGACCCCAAGACCCCAGTTGCCATTCCTTCCACCCCTCTTTTCACTCCCTGGCCCCGGGCAAATCCTATCCTTCATGGTAGCGGCGGTGGTGTGTGTGCGGGGGGTGGGGGGGGGGAGAGGAGGGGGACGGGTTCTAGTAACTTCGCACAAAGTAGATCTGACCGGCCACGGTAGTTCACAAAGATTCCGCCACTCTGACTTGTTCTTTCAGCTGTGCCCCGGAACACTGCCCAGAACTGTTCAAGCATATATTCTGGTTTGCCTCCTTTACCTTGGAGTCTGGGGTATTAGGTATAGGGAGAGGGTCCTGCCCATTTGTTTGGTTTGTTCACATGATACCCCCCCAACACACACACACACACACACACACACACACACACACACACACACTAGCTTCTTACCCTGGAATAGTCCAGGCTGGTCATAGCCGGATTGGAGTCGACGTGGGCTCTGACGAGGGCACTGATGAGACTCACCGGAGGTGAGGGGGGAGAGGGGTCCTGCGGGCTCTTGGGTTTCGAGGGCAAACGACCTCTCCGGCCTTTCAAACTGTCCGTGCGGACCACTGGAAAGGAAGAGCCGGGTTAACGCTGCGGCTGCGTCCCGGGATCCTCCGCGGAGGCAGAGGTGGGAGCTGAACCTGGAGGTCCAGGGCTCCTCTGCTTGTGAAGACTTTACTGACAAGAAGCACTAATAAAGGCGTGTTGTTTTATACCGTCCTCCGTCTGGGCAGCATACTTAAAGACGGGGAGGGCGCGGACGGCTTTCTGTTAGGGAGGCTGCGCCGCTTGGCAGCGGGAGCCTGGAGTCAGGGGGGTAGGGAGTGAGGCCGGACCCGAGGCCGCAGGCAGCTGGTGGCCTTTCGAGGATGCGGAACCAGAGGTCAGAGGCTTGCCCCAACCTACCTTCTTTAACCATCCCAACGGCCAGGCACTTCTGAAATCGACAGTACTGACAACGATTTCGGCGGCGCTTGTCCACTGGGCAGTTTTTATTCGCTAAACACACGTATTTCGCGTTTTTCTGCACCGTGCGCTGCAGAGGGAGAGAAATACAGGCCCCAAATTATTATTTGTAAGTTTGTCCAACAAACTGGATACATTTTTTTTTTTTTTAATGGCTTGGATCTGCCCTCCTTCCCTACAAACACAAACACTGCTCCTTAAAAATTTTTTTTCCTTTTCTTTTCTTTCTATTTCCTTTCCTTTTCCTCCCCAGGGCATTTACCAGAAGAAAATTGATAGCGTTAACATTTGAGCTAACCTTGCTGCTCCTTGCTGTGTTTTATATGCCAGGAGAAGGAGCAGGAGACGCTCAGTAAATACAAATCCGTGGGCATTCATATTATTTACATTCCTTGGAGACCTTCTCTATTTAAAATGATAAGATTATTCAATCAGGATGGCGAAATAAAGAGATCACTTAATTTGACCATAGGGAATTCTGTTCCACTTGGTTAGCTCAGACACGGTTCTCTGTCCTAACCAATTTCAATCTGAACAAGGAAGACAGCGCCTAACACATGCAAATAGCCCTCTTCCAACTCTGGCTCCAGCAATTTCGGGTGGGAGCCCGCCTGGCCGGCAAGTTGCTGTGGGGCCCGGGGTGGGGGGTGACGGGAGGGATGAGATCCTCCCGATCTTCCTCATTTCTTTTCCTAGACCCCCCCCCCCCAAGTAGCCCCTTCCGAGGCCCTTGAAAAGCTGCGGGGAGCTAGAGCTGGGCTGCCGACCGGGAGGGGAGGGCGCGCTCCTGCGCCTCAGGCACAAGGTCACCGACACCCGCCACGTCCGCCAGCCCGGCTCACCTTAAAGAAACCTTTGCAGCCCTCGCAAGTGCGGACACCGTAGTGCTGGCAGGCCGCGTTGTCGCCGCAGACAGCGCACAGACCCTCGTTGGAGGGAGAGCCCCGCGACGGCGGCGAGGGCACCTGCGTGTCGAGCAACTGCGACGCGTGGCCGAGCTGCAGGCCCGGGAAGCCCATGGACGCCGGCTTGCGGATGGGGTTGGGCACGGCGAAGGTCTGGCCGTCCACGACGTGGTGGCTGCCCGCGGGCTCCGGGTTCATGGGGACGTGCAGAGGCCCGTCGAAGCGCATCTGGCAGCTGGACACGGGAGTGCCCGGGGGCGACTGCTTAAAGGAGAAGAGTGAAAGGCGGGAGACGGGCGTCTTCCTCTGCTCGATCATGTGCGTCGTGGCCACGTAGTTCTGATGGAAGTTGTGGAGGGACCCCGGGTCGTCCCACATCGGGCTGTGCTGCACCTGGAAGCCCGGGGTGCTGGGGGTCGGGGGCGAAGAGGGCTTGTAGTAAACCGACCCGGAGTGCGGCATCATCTCCTCGGACTGAGGGGGCAGGTGGCTGTGCTGCTGGTAGTTGTGCATCTGAATATCTTCTACCTTAATGGAGGACTGCTGTCCGGACAGGGGCATTTGGTACAAGCAAGGTGGCTTCACGTCGTAGCCTGAGCTGTAGTTGTCCATAAAGGTACTGAAGCTGGGGAGAGAAGTGGTGGCAGTGATTTCAGTGTTGGTGAGGTCCATGCTAAACTTGACAAACTCTGGAGTTAAGAAATCGGAGCTGTATTCTCCCGAAGAGTGGTAACTGTAGCTCTGAGAAGCGGGGCTGGCTCCTTGAGGCGAGGACCCATACTGCGCCTGAACACAAGGCATGGCTGGAAACGAAACAGGGCGATAACAACACTCAGCCTGGTCAGCTCAACACTTTCTTCCCGGCTCGGGTTCACCTGGAGCTACACCAGCAGCCCGCGGCGTCGGGGGCGGGGGCGGCCGGGGGTGGGGCGGTGGAGGGGGGCGTCAGGGGCGCAAGGGGAAGGGCAAGAGAGGTCGGAGCAGAAAGGAAGAAAGGAACGGACCGACCCCCAAAGGACCCAGAGCCTGAGAGCTGGTGAGGGTCTACAGTCCCGGCTGTTTCCAAACTCTCACCACCACCACTACCACCACCACCCCCTTCCCACGACCAATTTCACTCTCGTGAGCCTCTTCTTTGAAGCTCAGGATCGATAGCATTTCTAGAACCCACGATCTAGAAATGGAAGTTCAACTGCACGAGCAGAAAATTGTTCTCTGTGATCATAATGTTCAGGCTTGGCCTGAGAAGATCCTGTTGCCCTGTTTTTTCTGGGTATGCAGGGGGACTCGGGAAAGGTAATGAAAGAGAAAGTTCACTAACCTTCAGCCGAGTTATTGGAGTTTTCGAGGAAATTAAAGGTGGACAGTGTCGTAATTCAGCGTAGGCTAAAGTTTCCAAGATTTTTTTTTTAAAGCAATTGGGAATCCAGCCCGTCAGATCTCCCTGAAAAACAGACACAGGAAGTTTCAGGATGTCTTCCCACCCAGACTTGGCTGGGCAGATGCAAGACTCAGAGACAAGACAGGCCCTTCAGTGCCTCCTTGGAAGTGAGTGTGAAGACTTTACCAAAGAGCAGCTTAACTGTGTGTGCAAAGCAACAGATAAGGCCACTCATCTACCGGTGAAAATCCCTGCAGGGAAAGCGTCCTGGAGGGAAGTTATCCACCAGTCTACCTGACACTTACAGATAATATGAACTGGCCCCTTTGCTCTAGACAGAAGGGTCATTTTCATTCTACTTTATTTCAAATCTGAGAAGGCTGGCTAGAGAGAAAGCAAAGCATCGAAGCTTTCTCTTAAACATTTTTCTTGAGGTCAAACGGACTCTTCACTTAGAAGGAGAAAGAAAGTTAGTAGCACTCAACGCACAGTGAAAGAAAAAAAAAGCGATAGAGATCACACCCTTAGAAAAACGTTAGCATTAGCGAGGCCTGGACAACCAAGAAGCCAGTTTGGGTGCAAGTGTGTGGCTTCTGCAATTGCTTTTGACCCAGCACGGTGGCTTGGGATATAAGTGAATTGGTGTTCCTCCAGAGAACTGGAGTTCCAACACCTTCAGTGGCTCAGGGATGACGAGAGAGACCTCTGCTTTACCAGGAGCATCTTGGGTCAACATCAGAGGGAAGGAGATATTACGCATATAACATTGGCACCAAAGTTAGAAGCGCTTCTCAGCCCAGCAGCTTAAACCCCTTCTCCACAACGCTTTCCACGGGCTGCCTACTCTCTTAGACAAGGCATTCTTGTGTCCTAGCTAGTTTCAGATGTCCCCACTTGCAAGGCATTTTAGAGCATAGACAATCTTGTTAATAAACATAAAGGAACACCGTACAACCGCTCCTTCTGCTCCCGCTCCCCCTTCTTTCATAATCTCACTTCAAGGAGTGGAGAAGGTTACCCAGAAGAAAAATAGAAAAGGGACTCCTTCCCCCAACCCCCTCCCCCATCCGCCGCCGCCCTTGGAAATACGTCTGAGCTGGATATTAACGCCTAGCAGTGTCTCAGTCGCCCAACTGGATTCTACCTCACGCGCGCGCTCTGACACACCAGCCAAGGACAGCACATATCAAAAAACGAGCAACCTCAGGCAACTCATCACCAGGACCCTCCACCGACAGCACCCTTACTCGGCGACACCCGGGGAGCAGCGGTACGCGGGCGAGCGGAGCGACACTGTTCCCAAGCAACGCAGAAACTTTCTGTCCCGGACTGTTTCCCCACACGCTCACGAGATCCGGAGTCTCCACGAGCCACAATCGAGTCCACACCGAGAGCAAACTTTGCGCACATCTCCGCGGCCAAGTCCGCATCTCCCTAAAACTGTGGGAGTCCCCCCCCCCCACTTCCCCATCCACCAATGAGGAGCCCGGAAGCCTCTGCCCACAGCCAACTCCCCCCCTAACGCTACAAGCCCGAGTTCCAGCCAAGGCTCGGCGGAGCCGCGCGCGCCCCCTCGCCAGCCTCCCCCGGGCCCCTCCGCGCCCCGCGTCTCCAGCGCCCACTTGCAGGGAACCGGCGGCCGGTACCCGGGGACCCTGAGCGCGCGAGACCGCGGGCGGCCCCGCCGCCGCTTCACTCACTTCTCCGATCCCTTCATTCATTCAACTCCGCCGAAGTGCAGTCCCCCCACCTCCGGGGAGCCGGGGCGCCGGGGTCCGCGGGGACACTGCGGGAGCGGGGCGCGGGGAGCCACGCGCCGCCAGCCCGGCGGGAGCAGAAGGCGGGCAGCCGGCGGGGCAGCCGAGAGGGACGCGCAGCCGAGCGGAGCCGCCGGGCGGACTGGCCCTAGCCGCCAATGTGCCTTTGTTTATGTGGCTCGCGCCGCCGCTGCCAACACGCACCTAAAGTCTGCGCGCGTCAGCGAGCGTCAGCGGCCCGCGGTCCAATCGCCGAGCCGCCGCGCTCCCCGGACTCCTGGCCCGCGCTCGCTTTGGTATATTTCCGACCTGACGTCACGACTGGGGTTGATTTTAAGGTGGGAACCGTTCCGCGGCTTTCACCTTGGTAGCCCACTTGGGTGGGTATAATATATATATTTTTTTATTTATTTATTATTTTATTTAAATTTTCCGAAAGAAGTGTGACTTCTTCTGCAACCCAGGAGTCCGCGGAGAGCTCGCGGGGATGCTACGCGTCACCTGTCCCCCCACACCCCCCCACACACCCCGGGCTCTAAGCCCCCGCTCCCGGGGAGGGTGCAACAAAAGCTTGAACGGAAAAGAACGCGGGCGTGGGCCAGGTAGCTGGCACCTGGGCCGCCCCGCCGACCTGTGCCCTGGAGCTTCCCAACATCACCCTCCACACGCTCCTTGGAGGAAGTGCAGACAGTTGTCCTGTGACTCTCCAGAGGCTTGGGCATTAGGTGGGATTTCCTCAGGTCATGCACCCGCTCCCCTCCCCCCCCCCCCTTTTTTTATCATCCGAGTCTTCCTCCCTCCTTCTAGGGATGAGGGGATGGGGCCTATTTTTCTCCCCTCCCCCCTTTCCTGAAATTAAAAAGATAAAATACCGACAGGAGTGAGTGGAGAGAGAGAGGGTGGGCCCTGAGTCAGGCCTTCGGGGACCCCACGCGTAGGAGTGAACTGTTTGCTACTTTGCTTTTGCAGACAATGCAGCAGAGAGTCAGGCAACAGGTGCGCCTGCCGCCGAGAGGTGATCTGACTCGTCCCTCCCCTCCCCCCCCACCCCCGCCAACTCTTAACACCGTTGACATTTCGCTGCGCCCACCGAGCCCTCCCCGTCCCCCCTTCAGGGGTTTCTGAAACGCAAAGGCTGTGGTGCCCGCAACCATGAAGAAAGCGTGAAGGGGGTGGGGGGTAGTGGAGCCCAAGGCCGTGGTGGGCTGCTCGGCATCTGGGCCAAAACGGAGAGAGTGTGCCCAGGGTCCCCGTGGACTGTGGAAGCGTGCCCTAGCCCCCCACCACCCCCACACCAGCCCCCTGAAGTCCTCCAGGTCGCCTCCCGCTCTGCTCTGCGAGACCATCGGGCCGCCGAGCGCGTGGATCTTTCTAGCCAAGGAATCACCGCTCCTCCGGGGAGCTGGCCCTCCTCCCAGCGGAGTTGGCCGGGCAGGCCTCCCCGGGCTCCTGCCGAGGCGGGGAAGGGGCTTGGGCCCAGGGTGGGTGACTTTGGAGAGTCTCCGTCTTCGTCCAGGACGGCGCTCCTCCTCTCCCCCTCCCCTCCTCCCGCGCCACGGCTCGCTCCCCGGCTGCGGGGGACCGGGGAGGGGGGGCGGGGAGGGGGGCCGTGCGCCGAGCGAACCCGGGGCCCCGTCTGGGCGATCCGAGCGCCGGCGAGGCGGAGCGCGGAACTCTCGGGGTCGCGGGGCGGGCGGCTGGTTCCCAGCCTGCGCCTCCGCCTTCGCCGGCTCGGTGCCGAGCCAGCCTGCGGCTGCTGAGGCGTTGCCACCGGGTGCCCTGCGGCTGCCCAGACAAGCCGCGGGCTCCGCGGTGCAGCAGCCTCGGGGAAACCTACGTGACCGCCTCAAGTTTCCCCCCCAGATGTTGCGGCTGCTCCTCCAGCTGCCGCCGCCACGGCTCGGCGGTGCCCTAGTGGGCGCGAGGGGAAAAAAAAAATTAAAAAATTAAAAAAAAAAAAAAAAACCCGGGAAGGGGGGGGGGGGGGGGGGGGGGGGGGGGGAGGGGAGGGGCAGGGTGAAGAACAGCTTATTAGTGTGAGCTCGGCAGCGTCAGCGCCCCGTGGGCAGGAGCGATTCCACGCGAACGAAAGGGAAAAAGTGAGAGTTTGGAGAGCGGTGGAGAAGGAAGGGGGTGGGGGTGGCGGTGACGCAGGGGCGCAGGCATTGACGCACCGGCCGGGCTGGGCCCAAAATAGCAGCGACTCCAGCTCACAGGCGCCCTCCCGGGTTCCCTTCCCCTTCCGCGAGGGAGCAGGGTGCGGTCGGGGCTGGGGGGGAGGGGGGAGGTAGCTCTCCTTGATCCACGCGGTGGGCCAGGTTCCCGGCAGCTATTTTCAGACCGTCGGAAACCCAGGCTTAGCTGCACTCGGGTGGAAGTTATTATTTTTTAATACAGTTCCAGGAGAGCGGGTTACCGGGAGAAGTTTAAGGTCGCAGCCAGGAGCCCTCCCTACACAAAAGCCGCCAGGAGATGTGCTGCCCTCAAGCTCGCTCCTCTCCCTTGGTCATTAACAACACATTGTTTGGGTTGAGTTGAGTTGGGGACATTTTGGAAAGTGCCCTCCCGGAGAGAGGAAGGGGGGCCTGGAGTGGTTCCACTGAACACCAGGAACCAAGCACAAGAACGTGACTTCTTTTTCTTTAGCAACTTGGAGTGCTTGGTTCCCTGAAAAGAGGAGCCCTTGCTCGCTAAGTCTTGATGCACCCAATCAAAAGGCAGTTGGCCATAGCAATTTACTACGATGGTAAGCGAGAGTACAGTAATAACATGTAAAGGAGAAAATGAAGGCTTCCCCCCCCATCCGTGTGTGCGTTTTTCCTCTTCAATCGTAGGTCCAGCTTCCTGGGATGTTGCCGCTGCTTAGGAAAGACTCCTCAACTCGCTTGAACTAATTCCTGGCTGAGACTCTTCTAGTGTTGGAGTTTGGGTCAGGGCTCGCGCGTGCTCCGAGTGGGAAGGATGTGAGTGCACAGATTGGAAAGGGTAAAAGGGTCAGGCTCAAAACCTCGGTCTGCTGTTTTTCCCCACTTGGTTCTGAAGGGGGCAAAGCTGCAGGAGCAAAGACAAGGTCTGCAATTGACTGGTTTTGACGGTAGGGGGCCCGACTCCACAATGTTCGAGAAACAATCTCCCACACAAGGACACGCACGCGCGCTCACACACACACACACACACACACACACACACACACACACACACACACTTAGCTATTTACTACGTAGGCTAACTAAGCCCCAGGAGAAAAGCCTGCAGGCACAAATGTTCATATTGTGTTGGAATTCATAAACAACAACAACTTTTTTTTTCTTCCTATTTTCTTCAAAAGGGAAACAGTTCAACACATGAAATTAGGTTCACAGTGGATTTTCTTTATTTTCTTCTGCCCATGTTTAACTCACTGTTAGGTCACAGAGGAAAAAAAATGGCAATAAAAATCTCTCATTTTATCTCAAAGCAGTTCAAATTGGCATACAGTTTGGAAAAATGAAAACATGTTTTAAAATCCTATGATTACATGTTTAAATAAATTATAGTTTAGAAGAGAATTCCTGTGGGTATATTTGCTAGTACATAAGAGAATGCTTTTGTGCATAGAGGTTTAATTACACATATAATGGAATCAAAATGTAGAAATGAACAACCTTTCAGAAAATGTTAAAACGATGCTTTAGGCTAAAAGAAACTGAAATTCTGCATTTATATGGCTGCAACCCTTCTGCATTCTTATACATAAATATTTCAAATAAAATATTTTATAACTCAATTAAAATGACAATTTTTTTCTGGATGTAACTTTAAATTATTGCCATGTTTAAATGTATAAGGTTTCCCCAAATAGAGGTCTATTTTCTTAACAATTTAAAATAATGGAAGCAAAAAATTGGTGTTATACATAGTAGGTCCTTTCTTATGTAAATTATAAGTTATTGCTATTAATAAATATAACGGTGTGACAATAAAAAGCATTGATGAAGGTAACATTGTTATATTACCTTTTATGATACTACCACATACTAAGAATAATATTTGCCTGTATGTAGAAAATATTTTATTAAAAATCAGTATAAATGCACATAAACTCACATCTAAACCTAAGTATTTTATTTTATGCATGGCTAAGCAGATTTTACTTAATAAAACTGAGCTTTTGGTATAATTTAGAGAGCAAACATAAATGTAATCCCATAGGATTTTCTATTTTAATGCATGGGGAAGAGGCCTTTGTGGGCTGATTTCAGTATTCTCCCCAAATGAATTCCGAGGAGACCTCACAATGCAGATACAATGAAACAAACATACCTGCTATGCTGTGAGAGTTGAGGCAACTTCAAGCTCTTTCTTTAAAATTATGTAGGTTTTGTAACTTACAAATGTTAAAATGAGATGTATTTTCAATTATGTTCGAACAAACTTTCATTCACAGCCTTTGTTGTTATTTAGTAGGCAGTCTTACAATAGTGACAGAAAAAGAATATTTCACTTTAAAACATGTGTTTCTCAAAAGAAAAAAAATAGTATTGAAGATGTTTTATTGTTTTGCTTTTGCCATTTCATTTGCATTCATGGGCTATTAATCAACCAAACTGCACCTTTCCTATTGGATACTTGGAGAAGTCAATTGCTTCTTTGATTTCCACATTTTGGATAGATGCAGCTTTTACTGAGTTTTACCCAGCCTGTTTTTCACCAAAGGCCATTGATTTTTAAAATGTCTTACTTTAATTCATAACCCAATTCTAGAAAATGTGTAAAGATGTGCAGGAGTAAACAGCACTTTTTTTTTCTAGAAGCTTCTACTTATAAATTAAAATCATAAAACTGAACATATGGTAAAACCTCATGCCACTCAAAAACTATTTTACATAATAAAAATCTTCATTTTTTTTCTTTCTTTAATACTTGGCTTACAGTGGTCCTCTCCTAATACTTGCTTTTATAGCAACGACTTAACATTTTCCTTATGAAAAAAAAAAAAAGCTCTTTTATTAGAAAGAAGGATAAGTTTGGTTTTGGAATTTATTTGCTTATTTTAATAAGCATGGAAAACATTAAA